TGAGATACCTCACTCATGTTTCAGAGAACCGGGGTTAATTTCTTAACTTAAACTTCTCTTTCAACATTCGTTTCAGTGTCTCACTATGGGATATAGAGACTCCCATATTGCCAGACAAGTATACCTTAAGGACCTGTTATCAAAAGATAGCCCTATACCTGTTGCAGAACCCATGTGAAGAACCCTGTGAGCCAGTGTGGGTGCTGTAACATCCAAACTGTAGACCAGCTAGCAAAGAGCCTGGTGACCGGAGCTTATATGGACCTGATACTAAAGGTGTGCAGAGACACATAAACACACTGTCGAGTTATTATGGGGTTTGTCTGCCTGAACTCGACAAGGCTTGGCACAGAGGACGCAGGAAACCACTCAGATCAACTTAATAATTTCTTTTATTTGACTTTTGTCCTTTTCTGTTGAATCATAAGCAGGTTGATGACCTCAAAGAGAAAACAAACAAACAGAAATTAGTTCCACCGTGAACCATAGTCACACATGCAATCATGTTTAGTTCTCTATCTTAGACTTAGTCTTAGAAAATTAAATTAAAAATTCAGATCAGTATCATCAATCTCAACTCATGCTTTACTAGAACATAAGTGGGAGAATGGAGTGAGATACATACCAGTAGCGTCTCTGTGCTCCACTGACATCACCACATCCCAGTGAAAAATATAAAAAATGAAAAGTAAACAGCATATAACATATAACCTAACACACACTTTGACTTCTTCACATTCTCCATCGCCTGTCTGGTGTAAATTCCCGAGGCACGCTGAGCAGGTGGAGTGGGTATCCGCCCAGGAAATGTTCTTTCCACACCCACACAGCTTGGTCGCTGGTGTGAGCCCCTCCATGGTACTAGGCAGCTACCGTATGGGGACAGTCTAGCTGAATGTCTCTATGGACGGGGGCCGTGCAGTCGAAAATAGCTAATGTTTGGGGACAGCTAGCTGAGTCGCTACTGTTTGGGAACAGCTAGCTGAGTCGCTACTGTTTGGGTACAGACTAGCTCTCACTGAGGGAAAATAGCTAC